CGCAAGCCTCGCAAGCACGCGTGCATCCACGCTCGGCCGCTCCTGCTTGCTCTCCACAATCCTCTGCGGCCCGATCACCGCTCGAATCCTGTGCACAGCACCACCGCCTCGTGTCCAGCACCGCTGCTCGCCCTTCTCCTTCCATCCATCTTCCGCCCTCGCCCAACGCTTCTGACAGCGCTCCTCCAACCGGGCCGTGCGCCGAGCCGGCCATCATGTTCAATGGCTCCGCTCCTCCCAACGGCGGAGGCGCAGATGCCAACAGTGCCAACCAGAGCCCGCCCATCGTCAAGCTCGTCCTCGACGCGCTTCAGAACGACGGCCCCGCGCCCATCGTCACCACCCAACAGCACGCCCTCCTCCTCGAGACCCTCCTCTCGGATGCCGCTCCCAACACTCCCGTCCTCCATCCCGCACAGCGTCAGCGCCTCTTCAACGCCATCGCAGACAAGGTAGGCCCTGACGCCACAGCAGACGCCGTTCGCACCGCCCTCCCCAAGCTCCAGCTCAAGCAGGACAAGAACATCGCAGATCTGCTCATCGAGCTCGGCGTAAAGAGCCTCCCCACCGTCGACACCGCCGCTGCCGTCCTCAAGCGCTTCGGCCTCACCGACGCAAACCCCCCAGACGAGCGCATCGTCGCAGAAATCCTCGCCATCCTCCTCTCCGTCGATCCCGCCATCTTCGAGAGCGATCGAGTCACCGACTTTGCCAACCTCGTCCGCGCCATCGCCTCCATCCGTCCCACCCTCTCCTGGCCTCGCGTCGTGCGCGGCCTCGACGAGCTCGATGGCTTCAACCCCTCCTTCCACGGCCGCATGGCTGGCATGGCAAGCCTCCTCCTCCACGCTCCCGTCCAGGCACAATCCCAGGTCGCCGCCGTGTCGGGCCTTTGGGGCCCTTGGGCCCACCGCCTCCGACAGCTTCAGATCCTCCACGGCCTCCTCGCCCTCGGCTCCGACTCCTTCAGCTTCGCCTCGCTGCCCGGACGCCGCATCCTCTCCTCGGACCACGTCGCAGAGGCGCCCAACAGCGTCCGCGAGCAGGCAGAGTCGCTCCTGCCCAGCTCCTACAACTCGCTCGACCTCGTCGAGACGCTCATCGACATCTCCTCCTCCGACGAGCAGCACGTCCGATCCGCCGTCCAGGAGGTGCTCGAGCACGCCATCAAGGCCGCCCCCGAACTCATCCTCCTCGGCCTCGTCCAGATCCCCCAGCCCTGGAATCCCGTCCATGCAGAGCTCGCCTCCCAGCTCCTCACCATGTTCATGACCCCCAACAACAACAGCAACCTCGTCTTCCACCGCATCTGGAAGACCCAGCGCGACTACCTCCTCAACGCTTTCCGCAACTTTTACCTCGAGAATCAGCTCAACCTCAGCCGCATCGTCGACGTCGCTCAGAGCCTCGGCATCGTAGACGATCTCGTCGACGCCAGGCCCTTTGCCTTTGCCCTCGACGTCGCCGCGCTCGCCTCGCGCAGAGAGGCCATCGACCTCGACGCCTGGCTCCAGGACAACATCAACCGCCACGGCAGCGACTTCATCCGCGCCGTCCTCGAGTTCCTCGACGTAAAGGCAAAGGACGACCTCGCCAAGCCCGACCCCCACGCAGAGCAGAGCTTCGTCCCCCTCACCGTACAGAGCGTCGCCAGCTTCCTCAAGGCGCTCCGCTCCAACGGCGACAGCATGAGTGCCGAGGAGATCGACTTCTTCAAGGGCGTCCGCAACGTCTGCCTCCAGCTCCATCCGCGTCTCATGAACCTCGCCCCCGGCGCAGAGGGCCAGGAGCCCGGCCTCCAGGTCGTCACCTTCTCCCAGGACATCCATGAGGAGGCCGACTCCTGGTATCGCCAGATGTACGAGGGCAAGATCAGCATCGAAGACATCGTCCTCCTCCTCCAGCGCACCAAGGCCTCCGAAAACGTGCGCGACCACCAGATCTTTGCCTGCATGGTCCACACCCTCTTCGATGAGTACCGCTGGTTCGAGATGTACTACCCTCCGCGCGAGCTCGAGATGACCGCCGTCGTCTTCGGCTCGCTCATCCAGTACCAGCTCATCGACTACATCCCGCTCGGCATCGCCATCCGCTACGTGCTCGACGCGCTGCGCAACCCATCCGACTCCAACATGTTCAAGTTCGGCTTGCAGGCGCTGCTGCGCTTCCAGAACCGCCTGCCAGAGTGGCCCCAGCTCTGCCAGGCCCTCCTCTCCATGCCCCACCTCCAGCAATCGTATCCCAACATCATCCGCCTCGTCAAGATGGCCCTCGCCGGCCAGCTGCCTGGCGCCGATGTCGGCATGCCCGGAGGTCAGTCGCTCGAGGACAAGAAGGCTCCCTTCCCCGCCATCCGCGCAGACGCGCCGCCCCAGGACATCGAGCAGCACGACCCGAGCGAAGAGGTGTCCGACAAGCTCCTCTTCCTCGTCAACAACCTCTCGCCCAGCAACGTCGACGCCAAGCTCGGCGATGCCCGCCGTCTCATCACCGCCGACATCCACCGCTGGTTCTCCAACTACCTCGTGCTTCAGCGCATCAGCATCGAGCCCAACAATCACGGCCTCTACGCCCAGTTCCTCGACGGCCTCGAAGCCAAGGGTCTCATGGCGCACATCCTGCACGAGACGCTCGCAAAGTGCCAGATGCTGCTCAACAGCGACAAGACCGTCCAGTCGACGCAGGAGCGCAACCTGCTCAAGAACCTCGGCTCTTGGCTCGGCAGCCTCACGCTCGCCCGCGACAAGCCCATCCGCCACCGCAACATCGCCTTCAAGGACCTCCTCATCCAGGGCTACGACAGCAACCGCCTCATCGTCGCCATCCCCTTCGTCTGCAAGGTGATGGAGCAGTGCGCCAAGTCCAACGTCTTCAAGCCGCCCAACCCCTGGCTCATGGCCGTCCTGCGTCTCATGGTGGAGCTCTACCAGTTTGCCGAACTCAAGCTCAACCTCAAGTTCGAGATCGAGGTGCTCTTCAAGGGCCTCAACGTCGAGCTCAAGGATGTGCCTCCGACCACCATCCTGCGCAACCGACCGACGGGTGACCTTCTGCAGCAGCAACAGCAGCAGCAGCAGCAGCA